GCAAAGTCAAGGTCTCATTTAGTAAATTCAAGGCTGAATTTGGGCAAAGTCAAGGTCTCATTCTGGCGAAGTCGCGGTTTGACTTTGATTTTGGACAAAATCAAGGTCTGATTTTGGTAAAGTCGGGGTTTGATTTTGGTTCTCCCCTCGGAAATGTCGTTGATGGGGAAAATGTGAAAAAGGATGTAGTATTTGATGAAGTGAATGATGTTGATGAAATGGATATAGTTGCATGCGCGAAGACGGTTGGTTTTGTTTTTACCCCTTAACTTTTATACTAAAAGTATTATATAGATTAATGCTTTCTTTTTTCTAGGCTGGTTGAGTTTTTGTGGTGTTTTATGTGTTGAGTTTCTGCTAGAGTTTTATGTGTTGAGTTTATGTGTGATATAAAACAGTTGAGTGTCAAAAAAGTTTTGGTATCTTATAGTCTCTGATGATTTTATGTTATCAAAATAACATAACTTCATAATATCATATAAGACTACTAGTAGCATAGAGCCTAGAAAAGACGTTTTACCTATTTCCACCCCCCCCGACCAACAGAATCAACTCTTACAGGACCAAATTCAAATGCACAATCCCAACTCCTGATTGTATATAATACATTTTTGCTAAAGCAACGAGAACTCAAGTAGCTCAAGCTACCTTTCGTGATTTACAGTATTCCAAGATTTGGATGTTTTCCAAGAAAGCAGCGCAAAAAAAGGACTGTCAGTCTGGTGGACAGTGACCTTGTCACAAACAGATTGATACTGATTTTGCCACTCGGACCTCGGATCCTGCAACATCTTCAACCGCTGGTTCTTGAAGCAGAACAGGGTTTACCTCTCAGCACCTTGCTGAAACAAAGGACATAAGCGGAAAAACAAAAACGAACACTTAACCAACACACACACAGTGACTAAAAATATCAATGACTTGCCCATATACTTGCACCTTGCTCTTGGCTTTCCACCGGTCCCTACGGAAAGGGCGCCTTCCAAGGTCTCTGCCACCACGCCGCGCCTGTTCGGGCGGGGGCAATCCGACGAGGGTCATCGCAAACGACGGAATACTAAGGACCAAAATGCTTCCATCACCCTGAAGAGACTGCGTTTCTGTGCCAGCACTTTCAAAGGGGTCACCAATGGAAGCCCCTACACCACTAAGGGACCTCCATTGGACACCCCTTGAAGGTCCAGGTGTGTGTTGTTTTATTTGTTTGAAGAGCTTTCTTTTTGGCTGAGCCGTCTTTTTGGCGGTGTTTTTGTTTGCAGGAATTCATGGCAAACGGCAGCATGATTGCACAAAGCCGCACAAAAAAATATGTTGTTCACAATTGACTCCAAGCCAAAGCATGTGAATGTGTGGTGTTCTTGCCATTCCAATTCATCAACAGTCCTCCAGGGCAGCTTTTTGATGTCTTGCACAAATGGCCAGTCACCATGTCTTCACCATGTCTTCACCATGTCTTCACCTTCCACCATGGGATACCCCGCCCCTCCACCATGCCGTCGGGGTGCCACCACCCGCGCGCTCCGCCCACTTCGCCCGTGCCGAAGGCCGGGCGAAGGGCCGAGCGCCGCCGCAGCGCGGTCAGGAAACGCTCCGAGAGCTCCGGAGCGGACGCCTCGGACCGCTGACGACGAAGGGAGGAAGACCCGAGTGGTCTGGTGGAGTCTGGTGGAGTCTGAGGAATCTGAACACCCTTGGACCAAAGACAGGGCACGTTGTGTAGGTTGTGTAGTACGAGGTGGAGCGTAGTTCTAGAGAGGTGTTTTTGGTTTGGCTGAATTTTGTTGGGAGTGTTGTATAAAGTGCGTTGGAGACCCAAGTTGAAAGACTATAAAGACATGTTCTTGGTGACGGAAAAGAAGTTTCCTTTCAGGTTCCTCAATAGATTATACATATATTATATATATACTTATCTTATCAATATCTGTTATAGTTATATCATATCGTATGACATCGTATGTATATTGATGGTCTTCCACACTCCCTTGGTTAATCCCAATGAATTACTACGTTAACAATTTTCCATCACATCTGTGTCCTTTCCATCCCTGGCCTGGAGCAAAGGCTTCTTCCGCTGCATGGCTTGCAGGTAGAGCTCTCCCACCGGCTTCCGCACACGCATCAAGGTGCCCGTGCTATCCTGGACAGCCAACCAACCGGGACAGCCGCCGGTCACAAAAAACAGAAACACTTTGACCTACGAAACCTGCTTTTCCCTGGAGCCACTATCCTTGCTAACCACTATCCTTGCCTTTTCGCTGTGGGATGGGTCAAAACCTGGAGCCCGACCAGTCCACCATGTAGTGAACGACCTTCCAGGTAGGTCAACCAAGTGCTTTGCCGCTTCGTTCTTGTGTCACACTTCGTGCAGCGCGGACATTCGGCTTCACGTAGCTAGAGGGGCATGAACCTTGTTTGTTTTTTTCTAGCGCCAAGCCAGGAGTTTGCCGGAGCGCGGCACAACAAGCGTTCACTTGTTCGGGTTTTAAAAACATTGACATTGTATGAGGTGACACGAAGCTCGGGGAAAGGCATTTAGTCCTTTGCAATGTAATTTACTGTGTAAGCCCGTAGGCTGATGGGGCCCTTCTTTTCAGAGATTGATTGATTCTTGTTTTCCTCAAAATGGAGCTCGGTTCCTGGTGGCATTTTGGAGCATTCGTATGTCTTGGAGGCTTGGCTCTTGGGGCGGGCTGTGTCCGAGTCAATGGAACTGTGTCTTTCACCGCTTCAGCCAGTCCCCTCTCGGCCTCCCTGGCCTGTCGATATGCGTATCGTTTGCATCTGCTAATGTGACCTGTTCGCCTAATAGACTTATCTTCCGCCTCCGATGTCTGAGAGTTTTTGAACATACACTCCATGCGTGTTTTTCAACACCTGGTGTGTACAGATTGCATTCATTGTGGGGAGTTCACCCCGAATTTCAGGTAGATCATGTTACCAGACTCCCAGGTACCCACCCTAGGGCCTAAGGGTGAAGGGCCCAGGGTGGGTCAAAAGCGCAGGATCACATAGGGTCGGTCCACCGGTCGGTTTCCTGGTCTTGACCGCTGAATTCGCAGAAACGAACGAGGTTGCGAAACAAGCGAACGAACAAAGGTATCGAATATTATGCGTCAAGGCCAGGAACAACCACTGCAATATGAGGATGTATACAACGACTACATATGTATATGATGTGATTCTGAGGATGTGTTTTTGGTTGACTGCTGAACGAGGTCCTTTGAATTCCTATGACCGCCAGCTTAGTTGGAGGATGTGAAGACCAAGAAAAGGTCTCACAGAACCAGCAATCCTCACATCACAGTCACCGTCACCCCGGCTTCTCCAGAGTAATGAGCCGCGGCAACATGGCCTCCTGTAGTGCCTGAGCGTCACCCAAAAGCCGGATGGGGACTGATTGAGCTCTGCTGATTGCCTAACTGTCTGACTGCTTTGATTTGAAATCGGAATATCTAAAGTCTGGAGGCCACCGGTCGCATCCAACGAAGACTTGTCCGAGGTGGTCCAACCAGAATCGGAAGAAAACTGAGGAAGTCGGCAGAATCGGCACCCGCTAATAGATACCAATAGCATGTTCCTCAAAGCAGCGGTTATCAGCGGATTCGAAGCACACACACACCAACACATTCATGTGTGTGAGAACTTATTGATTATGTTTATTGTTCTAAGTAAGTCATAAGCACGATAGTATCCAGGGACGTATCCAGGGCTGCTTTTGTGAGGAGAACTGGAAAATCCATAACACTTACAGTACACCTTTCCCCTGCATATTCAAGAGACCTTGGGCTTTCCATGGCTTTCCAGTGCTGCCCTTTGAAGGTCACTACGATTTCAATCAATTTAGAGTCAACCTCCCCACCCGCAGCTCCTGAAGAAGCACTCCAACAACAAAGCACCTGGTCAAAGCGCCCATGGCGCTTAATAGATGCACATGACGGATTAAGAAATCCTGGAGCCGCAAGAGGAACCAGGAACTTGTTGTTGTTGTGGTTGTTGTCGTTGTCGTTGTTCTTCTTCTTCTTCTTGTTTTGAGAGGTGCTATGAGGGATCAACATATTTCCATCACAATTGACCCATCCGTGAGGAATCTATATGTCATACTGCAAAATTGCACACGTTTTCCGAGTCTCCCAACGGCGTAGAAACCTTGGCCATTGCCATGACTGCTTCTCCCAGCTGGGGAGGTTCAGGACCAGGTCTGGCAGGTCTAGGTGTCGTGTTTGTTTTTGTTGACGAAAAAGCCATCTGAGAGCCGAAGTATGCTGAAGTGTGTTTTCTTGCAGGAAAGCTGTTTATACGTGTGGATCGTGTGGGATGAGCACTTGCACCACCCACACGTGCACTGTGATGAAAGGCTTCCAGGGGCAAAGCAATGATCCACAGAAGTTGGCAAATGATACCAGGGGAAAGCAACACAGCAGCAGCTCTAGCCTCACCTGCAAAGCCATGTGCTTTCAATGTGCACGGCAAATGCTCTGAAATGCTCTGAATCAACATCAAACTGAACCCTACATGAATGCATCGACCCTGAGCAAAAGCAACCACATGATACCATACCTTGCACAAACGGCTGCCTTGATCCACGGACGCATGTGCTGCTCTCAATTTTGGCCTGCTTGGCCCCTTGGAATTCCGCGTCTCCACGTGCTTCAAGCAAGTGGGCTTGATCGCGCCGCCCCGACCGTGCAAACGGAGGAGACAGCGCGCTGATCTGTCTCAGACTTCATTGAGCATGTCCAAAGCAGACTGAAGATCTTTCAACCTGAGCCAAAATCCGGGCGAGTGCTACTCATCTCATGCCTCACCTATGACTTCATGATATGTCGTTTCCCCAGGTAAGGCCGTCGAATCCAGATGGCCGAATATGAAGGGGCTTGGACTAAAAAGGGACTCGTCCCAAAGGTGCTGCAGGTCAGAATTGAGACCACATTTGACCACCAACTGCAAAACCTTTGGAAACATTAGGAACAAGCTATGAACATCCGATGGAACGCTCGTCCGTGGCTCTCTATGCAGTGCTCTGCGATGCTCTGCGGCTCTGCCCTACGGTGATGGCCGGCGGTGCTCGTCCCACCACGAAGTCCGACCGTCATGAATGGGTCAAGGAACTCCTGTTCCCTCTGTGCCTTGCGCTCGGCAAAGGATTCGCTGGTGTCGATGCAATCAGGCTTGAGCTTCTCATAATAGACATTGGCCGCATCCAACTCCTTCTGGGTTCCTGACACGTGTGGCAGACGAGCTACCATCATGAATGAACACCCACGAACATCCAAGAACTACGAAAGCCAACTGAAGAAAAGCAACCAATTTGAACATGTCTGGTGGGACAATATCTCTATGTCTCAAACAAAGGACTCGCCCCCCTTCGCATTCAAATGTTTTTTTTGTATTTTTTTGTTGTGTATCCATACCAGTGACTCTGCGCGGATCCCGAGCCTCTCAAAGCTACCTTTGAAGGAAAACACGCACACAGGCCGCACGCACACCAAAAATAAGATAAATAAGGACCACAGCTATCCAAACAGCTCTCCAAACCCACGTCAACTCGTGCTTTCCCCATGCCAAGAGAAGGCAGCCTGCGGCGACCGGTGCGGTACGACTCACTACTCAACTCACTCATCGACTGCTCAGACGTCTGCAGAACCCCCGGGCACGACGTGCTCCACCTTGCAGGTCGCCCTCCAGCATCGTCAATTCTTGGCTCTTCGTCCTAGAAGGGAAGAGGACGGAGGCCCGATTTCTTTTTTTCGCTCGAAGAACGCCGGACAGAGGTCCATGTATCCATATAGTTCAGAGGTGCTACATTTTGGTGGCCTGACATGTGCAAGCCAATCAGGCTGAAGCACCTTCCAAACTGCACCAATTAATATGTCTCAACTTGCAAACTCGCAGACTGTCTGATCTGTCTGCGCCCCTCAAATGGAAGAGGAATGAAGAGGATCCGCCATTGTTTTGTGGGGGGGGCCAAGGGGTTGGCAGGGCCAAGTAGAGGAAGGACTTGGTGAGTTCAAATTCCAACTTGATTTCAATTCCGTGCCAGCAGGTCTCGACTGTTCTTGAGTCTCGGATTTGGAGTTGGGTTTCAACTTGGTAAGTTTGTAGAGAGGATCTGCTTCGAGGCTGGTTGTAAGCTGTTGGACCTGTGCGCGTGTGTGAGTGCGAATCTAAGTGCAAACACACAGCAGGTCCGGCATACCATCGACGCTGACTGTCCGATGCGTGTGTAGAAAAAAAGGAACAGACTCTCCCACAGCCGGCCGCAAGTGGAGAGAAAACGAACATCATGGTGAACCCTGACTCTGCTGATCTTGTGCTGCCAAGGCTCTGCTTCTTGCTGGTCTTGTGCTCAGATGTCTTGGTCTTGGTGACCTTGTCCACCTGAGTCCGAAGCTGATTTCGGGAGAGAAGCGCGTGCGATTTCGGGAGAGATGCGTTCAATCCAATCCACCAGAATTCCACGATATTCCACGTATTTGAATACTTGGGGTATCATTGGGGTTGAAGGACGGCACCTTCATAACATAGTACAAGTTGCCATAGATCCAACAAGATCTCTCTCTCTCTCTCACAGTGGTTCAAGCATTGGCCACCCGGCCCCTGGTTGGCTCGTCTCCCCGCCCCCCATGGCCTTGGAATCGTCCATGAACTCGTCATACTCCTGGAAGGGACCGGAGGCTACGAGCCCGTCGCGCCCTGGCCCAGCGCTGGGGAGGCCCGCTTCAAAAGGAGAAAACCGTCCCATCGGGTTTCCCAAGGCTCATCTGCGAATAATTCGACCAGCTCCTTTTTCAACCAGCTCGTTTCCTCACTCCATGACCAGTATTCCTTTCCATCACCAAATGGACAACATTGTACAACATAGTAACATAGGCCTATAATGAGCGCCTCGACCTCTACAATCTGATCATTTAGTTACTGTGAAGCCTTTGGTCCCTCCCTACCACTGCCCCGAGCCCATTCACTCAAAGCACACGCGTCCCCCCGCAAGCGACTCACGATCGTCGTCCGCTCTTCGCCGTCTCCTTGGCCGCCGCCGTCTCCGCCGCCTTGGTCTCCGTCTCCAACCGCGCGAAGTCGGTGGCAATGACCTGCAGTCGGCGCAGCGGCGTGAGGAGGGCGCCGGGGACCCGGCCAAGCCCTTCGGAGAAACGCCCGAGGATTGGCGGTGAGGAGGGAGGCAGGGAGGGTTATGGATGGTTAATGATGGTTCCATTTGCTCCAAAAGTGGTACATCTGCATTGATGAGGCGAGAGTCTCTGACCCGTTTTCGTGCCTCTTCTGGTGCCATTTTGTATTCCAGCTTGCTCTGTCCCATCCAAGTCCCACCTCCAGCATTGAAAGCACGCCGCTGTTCTCCATGCCCTTGTAAGGCTCATCTCCAAAGACCTCCGAAAAAAATACACGTGAAATCACGTGAACAACATCGAAAAATAAGAAAAATCGAGTCGAGGAGCTTCAGCTGGCAAGTCCGGACAGTTCGGAGACATGTCTTGAGACATGTGGAGACATGTCCTCAGGACATGTCGAGACCAGGGAGGTTGAAGAGGTTGAAGTCCAGAATCGTTTGGCTTAACCACAAATTGGATTTGGAACTTTCAAGAGGTCAACGTACACGGTTTCAATGCCGGCAAATAAACAACGCTGGGGCTCTTTAGGCAGCAAAAGCCTGGCCGGGAATCGCAACATGCCATGGCCAAGGGAAAAGGAGAGTGCCAACAGCGCCCCCCCAATATGACCCCAACACAGCCAACACATGGCAACACACAACCACCCAGCAACCGCCGCAGCAGCAACAGCCACAACAACAATAACTGTAACCAGCAGCGGCAGCGGCAGCAAGCAGAAGCTTCCAAGCAGCAGCAGAAGCAGCAGCAGGAGTAGCTAGCAAGCAGCAGCACCAGCTACCAAGCAGCAGCAGCAGCAGCAGCAGTAGCAGCAGCAGCAGCTACCAAGCAGCAGCAGCATCAGCAGCAGCTACCAAGCAGCAGCAGCATCAGCAGGAGCAGCAGCAGCATCAGCAGCAGCTACCAAGCAGCAGCAGCAGCAGCAGCAGCAGCAGCCAAGCAGCAGCAGCAGCAGCATCAACAGCAGCCAAGCAGCAGCAGCAGCCAAGCAGCAGCAGCAGCCAAGCAGCAGCAGCAGCAGGAGCAGCTACCCAGCAGCAGCAGCAGCAGCAGCAGCAGCTACGAAGCAGCAGCAGCAGCAGCAGCTACGAAGCAGCAGCAGCAGCAGCAACAGCAGCAGCTACCAAGCAGCAGCAGCTACCAAGCAGCAGCTACCAAGCAGCAGCAGCAGCAGCAGGAGCAGCTACCAAGCAGCAGCAGCATCAACAGCAGCTACCAAGCAGCAGCAGC